ATGCTTCAGTTCTTAAAATCCCAAATAAAGGAGTGGAACAGGTTGGGGTTTGGAAGAGTTGAGGAAAGGAAACAGGTGTTGGTAGAGCAAATAGAGGAGCGGGATATGAAGGAAGGAAGGGGTCTTTTTGGTGAAGATGATAGAGAAAGGAGATGGAGTGTAAGGAATCAATTGGATGATCTTTTGATTAAGGAGGAAATAAGCTGGAGGTAGAAATCTAGGTGCAAGTGGTTGAATGAGAGGGATAGAAACACCGGGTTCTTTAACTCAGTGGCAAATGGTAGAAGAAGGAAGAATTTCATTTCAAAGTTGGAAGTTGAAGGAACAATTTCCCATCCGGTAGAAATAGCAAAAACCTTTGTTGGCCATTTCAAATATATTTTCAGAAGACCTTTAAATGAAAGGATCTGATTAGAGGGTTTAGATTAGTCGACTCTAAGCCCAGAAAACAGAGAGTGGTTAGAAAGGATATTTGATTTGGGGGAGATAAATGAAGTAATCTTTTCAATGAATAGAACGAAAGCTCCAGGTCTTGACGGGTTCACAATGGCTTTTTATCAAGATTGTTGGGGTATTGTAGAGGAAGATATTGGGTCAGTGTTTGAGGAGTTCCACAGAAGGGGAATAATCAACCCGGGCTTGAACTCCACTTTCGTTGCTCTGGTTCCTAAGAAGAAAGATGCTTCACAACCAAGGGACTTCAGACTTATTAGTTTGGTGAACAATTTGTACAAAATAATCGCAAAAGTGTTGTCTCTAAGGTTAAAGAAGGTTCTTACTTCTATAATTGCACCTAACCAAGGTGCTTTTGTGATGGGAAGACAAATTACTGATCAAATCTTGATTGCAAATGAGAGTCTGGAGAGTTTTAGGAAATCCAAGAAGAAATGAGTGGTGTGTAAATTGGACTTGGAGAAGGCTTATGACTTGGTTGATTGGTCCTTCTTGTTGGAGGTGTTGAAAAGTTTTGACTTTGGAGATAGTTAATGTAATTGGATTTGGGGTTGTATTAGAAGTTGCCACTACTCAATCTTGGTGAATGGAACTATGGTGGATTTCTTCCCTGCCTCGAGAAGAATAATACAAGGTGATCCACTATCCCCTTTCCTATTCACTCTGATTGCTAATGTACTTGGGAGATTGATTCAGATAGCAGATTCAAGGAATTTAATAAAATGATGGAGAGTAGGAAGGGAGGAGATACCTCTTACTCATCTATAGTTCGCAGATGACACTATCCTTTTCTATGAAGGTGGGAATATTGAGTGGATTTAGAACCTAAAGTTGGCAATACAACTCTTTGAGTGGGTATCCAATCTCAAGGTCAATTTGGATAAAAGTAGTTTGGTGGGTGTGAATCTGGAGGCGAGGGAGCTTAGAGAGTATGCAGATGTCTTATGGTGTGCAACCTTGGATTGGTCGATGGCTTACTTAGGCCTCCCCCTAGGGGATAACCCTAAGAAGGTAAGCTTTTGGAACCCGGTGATGGAGAGATTTGGGAAAAGGCTTGCCTCTTGGAGGAAAAATTATCTTTCCTTGCAGGGGGGGAATCACTTTGATTAGATCAACCCTAGCTAATCTTCTTGTGTACTTCCTATCTGTGTTTAAGATCCCCACAAAGGTCTCTAACACTTTGGAAAATCTTATGAGGGATTTCTTGTGAGAGCCTAGAGAGGGGAAGCGGGACCATAGGGTGAGTTGAGAGGTGGTAACTAGAGGTAAAAAGGTAGGAGGTCTTGGGATTGGGAATCTTAGGAAGAGGAACATTGCATTGTTGGGGAAATGGCTATGGAGATTTCCATTGGAAAGAGACAAGTTATGGACAAAGATTGTGGCTAGTATACATGGGTTGGAAGACAATGGATGGGAACCTGGAATCTTGGCAAGGACTATAGCCGCTTATCCTTGGTCAACCATACACAAACTGCTTCTAGTATTCTCCCCTTGTATCAGGTATGGTCTTAACTTCGGTAATAAAATAAAATTTTGGAAACAACTTTGGATCGGGGACTCACCTCTAATGGACCAATTCCCTTCTTTGTACGCTCTTTCTGATTTAAAAAATGAACACATTTCTTCCTTCTTAACACCTTCAAACTCTCCTTCAGGGTTTGGGTGGCCTAGGGCTGAAAAGGGCAATTAGGGACACAGACATGGACCACATTTTGTCTTTGTTATCCATGCTTGAAAATGTCTTCTTGGATCCCATTAAGGAGGACACCAGATTTTGGGTTCCCTCCTCTTCAAGTGTTTTCTCTTGTGCCTCATTTTTCGAGACTTTAACTCAGCCTTCTGATCCCATTGGATTGTCTTTCCTAGTTAAAGAAATTTGGAGTAGGCCCATTCCTCCTTGGATTGGTAGTTTTTGTTGAGAAACTTTCCTGAAAAGAATTAATACAAATGACCTACTTGAGAAGAAGAGACCCAACTACTGTTTACTTCCTAATAGATGTACTCCCTATAAAGCTAATGGGGAAACTGGTTACCACCTTATGGTCACTTGTTCGGTTGCTAAATCAGTTTGGAAGTGGGCCTTTTCCCTTTTTGGGTGTCTTTGGATTCCCCCTAGGAGTGTCCAAAGCTTATTCTCTCCATCTTTTTTCAGATGGCCGAAGAAGAGAGGGAAGACTATGTGGAGAAGCATTAGGGCTGCAGTGTGTTGGTCTCTATGGGAAGAAAGAAACTCATGGATATTTTCAAGTAAGGGAAGAACCATTGGAGGTGGTTCTCCAATGGTTAAAAACTATGGAATTATTCTGTGGCTGATGTGGTGAGAAATTGGAAGGAGATAGCCTCCTCTGCCCTCTGTAAGAGGACTTGTAGTCCTTCATGGTCCCCTCCTCTTTCTGTGTTCATAAAATTGAATTTTGATGGTAGTTGTATAAGGAACTCAGGGCCTTCTGGGATTGGGGGAGTATTCAGGAATGAGATGGAGGTTATTATTGCTATGTTCTCAGGCCCAACTGGGGAAGGAGACTCTCTTAGGGTTGAGATCCTTCCAGCCCTAGAAGGTATCCAAAGAGCAAGGGAGTTGAACATCAGATGTTTGGTTCTTGAAGGTGACTCGGAGGTGGCGATTAGGTGGCTAAAGGGGGGAGGCAATAGATTATAGAGTTATAACAATGAGAAGAATAAATTTAACAGGCTGAGTAGGGATTTTGTGGTTCATTACAACTGGGTAAAAAGGACTGCTAATTCTTTTGTTGATAGGTTAGCAAAGCAAGGGGTGGATAGGGTTTTGAGTTTTGGGGGTAATTTTTTAATTTTCCTTGTATTCTTTGGTGGGGAGTTTTTTTACCTCCCCTTTGTACCTAAGCTTCACATAGTTTCATATCTTTAATAAAGTTTCTTGTTATTGGTAAAAAAAAGTAATATATAAAATTATTAATTAAAACAACTAAAAAATAGATGAATGATAATTGAGCAATACACATTGATAAGAGGTTAAGTCTCGCAATAAACATTTTAAATTTTCAATTATTTAAAGACCTAGGCAGTTTCATCCGAGACATTCACCAATTCTTCAGTTAAACCGATCAAGGAGCCATATTTGACCTGTTATCAATGAATTCCAGTTTTTGACCCCTAGTCAACCTGTCCGATTATCTAAACAAAGGTTCAAACCAGGAAGAATGTGACAAGATTGGCATGGAGGTTGTTACTTGTCGATATAAAACCAACCACAACTAGGGAAGGATCCTTACCGCAGGTTGTTGACCAATATACTCATAGTTTAATCCAAGGTTCTAAATATCGATATGCCGGTAGGGGTGTATCGGGCAGTATCGATACTATTTTTTTAATTTTTTTAACTTTTTTTTTCAAATCCAGTTCAGGGGGCAGTTTAAGATTCCTCCACCCTCTGAATCGGTCAAAACCCCGATACACCCTCTGTAGGGGCATATAAGGTTGTTCCCGATATGATACGTATCAACCAATACGCAATGATTTTTTGAACTTTGGTTCAATCAACATATTAATTAGAAACGTTATCAAAACTATTCGACAATTTACAAATTCTGGGTACTGGGTTCTGTTTCACCCATAACCCGATCCTTGGCAAAAAACCATTGATTTGGCCAGTGACCCATAGACCAGGCCAGTTGAACCATTAACCCATTCAACGGTTTTTAACCAATTTTTTATTTCAATTATTTATTTTTATTTTTTTTAGTTGGAATGGACTGTCTATTTGAACCAGATGGTCGAACCATCAAAACCCAGAAACCAGTTGCCATAATGGTTCCGGTTCCAGGTCAGTTTCAAAAACCTTGAAAAGCACCAGAAAAAATGGTGAATTAACAATCAACCTCTCAGAAAATAATTGTCCATAAAAATGGAAATCCATACAGGAAAATACCGAACATTAACCAAATTCCCTAGGCAGATGATCTTTAGACTTTACACATCCTAAAAATTCTAGATAAACCACAAAAAAAAAAAAAAATCCAGGGCGACCAGATAGACGCCATCATGCCAACACAGATCCCTCTATTGTCTCGCTTCTTGTATATAGTCTATTTCTATAGCTCCAAATTCCCCAACAGATGTATAAAGAATTTGTACACAAGAAATATTTTTCTTTCCTACTTCCAACATGGCTATAAAAGAGCATCGTGAGCTAGCCACACCGACCACACTGAATAAATAAATAGAAAAAAAAAATCCACATTTCTTCACAATGAATAAAAAGAAAAAGAGAATGGTCAAGTAAAAACCCAGTTTCTGGTTAATTGTCAAACATCTTCAAAGTTTCTGGACAAGAAAACCTAGTTTATTGAAAGCCTCTATCTTCAAGCGGCCAACAGTCGTCGGTATACAATAACCATGCAAAATCTATCGAAAAGATATTTTACCTCGGATCACTTCATACCGCCAGTTGAAACGAGGCAAATAAAAACAAATGTTAGAATTTTAATCAAGTCGTATGGAACCTTAGCTTCGAATGCATTTGTGCCTGAACTTTCTAAGAGAACAAGATTTCTCAACTTTCCAAAAGATAACAGAAATGCAAAATATCATATTGCCAAAAACTGGATTATGAATTGGAGAAAAAAATTGTCAATAATTTCCCTATAAATAAAAAGAACATAAAAAACTATTTTCATTTAAATGAAAGGACAATAGATACATGACAGCCTGTGACTAAAGTAGAACTCTCTCTGCAAGGACTGGCTCCACCTTCTGCTTTTGCAGAAACAATTATAAAGTATATACAATGAGGTACACTGGGCGTGCCATCCTTCGGGCCGATCCTCATTAGACCTTTCGCTTGCAATGATTCTCCAAGAAAGAATGCCTCAAATGTTTGAACAAGCCGCAGAATCCAGATAAAAAATGGATCATACCTAATAAACCAAGGTGCAATATGTTAAAAATATTTTTTTGATCAATAAAATGTAAAAATTATTAACAACAAAAATCTCAAAAATCCATTTATGATCACCATTAAATGGAATTTAAGACCATCACATACCTGTGCTTTCAAGCTCCTTGAGGAGACTCATCTCGGTCTCCAGAAGTTTGGAACTGCAAGACCAGAAAGAAAATTTTAGGGGCAATTTGATCAGTGGTGGTAAAATCCCAGGCTGACTAGCGTGAGAAAATATGTTTGAATTTAAGAGTAACCACTTAGTAAAAAAAGGGCAAAAGGTTAGGCCCATTTAAATCCACTACGGATAGCTGGGACCAACACTGGGTAATGGCTGAAAGCCTTCTTTTATCTAGGTGCAAATTTGGATTCCGCTATAGTAGCCAAGTAACTCTCAATAATTAGCACAAAGAAAGATTCAGACTATTCAAATCTAATACAGAACAATACCCTTGGAACGATCACAAACTAAGAACAGAAAATGACCATAATTCAAAAAAAAAAAAWTACCTTCTGAAGGTCTAAGAGAAGGCATTGAGTGCCTGTAGTTCAACACTCTGGGAGGAAAAGCCCATCCATGGCTTGAGGCTCGCATGGGTTCTAATGGTGGTCCATAGTAGGAAATAGGTGCATATGACATGTCAGCTTTGTCAAAATGAACTAGCCCTGGAAAAGGAAGAAAAGTGTTAATTACCTGTCAATAAATCCAGACAATAATTGAATGAAATGGCTTGCTAACGCGGGCCTACAAATCTTGGAGAGGAAGAAAATGTCGATATTCAACCAGGAAAACAAGGACCACAGACATAAGATATACACCAAAGAGAATGTTTAAGCCCGAAAGAAGTTAACAACAAGCCCATAGGACACTTACCCGAACGAAACGGCGCAGAAAGTCTAACACGCTCACCAATCTCACGTGGAGCCACCTTCATTCTATCTTGACCATTGTATAATTTCCCTTCACTATTATCATGACCAAACTGAAACCTCTTGCTAAATGATGGGGATGATGTTTCTCTCCAAGATGGCATGCACCTATCTGCATGGACATAAGAGAACTGATTTGATACCAGGGGAGGTGGAGGCTGCAGATGGTAAGCCTTCCTGGGCAAGGACACACCATCTGTCTGCTGAACATTATTTCCAGAATGCACTGATGGATGAGAGCCTGGAAGAGTGCCACATGATCCAGAGCTACTGGATCTCTGCATCTGCTTTGGAAGATCCCTATGTTCAGGAGCATAATAAGACGCTGCATCCAAGGTTACAGAGTTGACATTTGGCCTGCCAGTTTGCTGATCCACAGACTGCTGCATGTTCTCTTGTTGACTCTGGTCAAGTCATGTTACAAGGAAAAGAAATTAAGACTATTATTAACATGTGACTTATCTAACAGATTTGATCCATCCAAAAATACAAATACAGCAACAATAATAACAATAGTGGTGGTGGCGGTGATCATAATAGTAGCAGTAGCAATAGTACTAAAGGGAACATGAACCAAGTGTTAGTGTTACTGGCCATGTCATTAAAGTGAATTAATTGAAATGTTATAGCTGTAAAGCTAATGCATACACTTTATTTCTATAAAGTTTTTTTTCCTTTTAATTTCAATTAAGCATTTCATTTCTACAGAGACCAGGACCAACAATAAGATGAAATTCAAAATCTTCAAGTGCTGGTACTGGATCCTTACATGTTTGTCAAGGTAGATTTTTTGATCTACAACATCAGTAAAACAATGGGACATGACCGGTGGAGGAGGGGGAAGGGAAGGGGGAGCAATGGGTGGTGGAGAAGTTGGCAGAGGAGGAGGAGACGGGGGCATGTCTTCAGGGAGTGGAGGGGCAAAGGTCAGTGGCTGTTGCGGTTCAAACTGACAATATGAAGTATGTGCAGTATCAATTCCGGCAACATTATATATTGTGTTTGCCTCAGCTTCACATAACGGGGCCACATCTTCCATTTCAAGTTCACCATCAACATCTTCCAAAATATGCCTACGCTTTTCAGTAATGGATGCTGAGGTTGTTTCTAGCTCTTTGGGGACTTCGGGTACATGTTCAGGAGTAACAGCCTCAAAACATTTTTCATCATCACTTCCCTCTTGATCTTCAAGCATGCGAGGCATGTGAAAACCTGAAATCTTGAAACTAGCATTGCTGAAAGCAGAAAGTAAATCATGGTAAGCGATAATACATAAAAATATCTGTTGGCAGATCTAGAAATGAGAGAAAAGTTATCACACCTTCCATACTCATCAACAAGCATACCATCCATTTCCCTAACAGGATCATTTAAGGCCCTCTCTGATCTTGATGAGCGCCGAGAGGAAGTACTAGGAAGAGATGTATCAGTAAGGGAGTCAAGTTCTTGCATATGGTGGCGAATAATGGATTCTGGAAGGGCTTTCCTTTCCAGCCAAAGTCTCAAAACCTTTTGAGGAGAAAAAAAAAGTCAAAACTAAGATCAACTGAATAAATTATAAAATAAGAACCATCGGTTTAATTTGCTAACCTTGAGACATTGCTTACGGTTTTCCCTTGCAGCATTTCCAGGAGGAGCAGCAGCTGACAATAGGCGTGGAAGCATTGCTTGAACTGCCAAAGGGTATATATCTCCAACATCACCTGGAAAGTACGAACTAAATTTCAACACCACCATATCCCATGCAAAATATACTCATCTGTCAAGCCTTTCTTGCTAAATAATACATATTGCTGAGAGGCCCGTAAGAAAACAAACCACTTGCCTTTCTGGCCACGAGAACACTGAGTTATAGAATCCACTAAGAAAAACAAATCCACCCTTTTGTGTAAGCTTGATTCGTTTTCCAAATTTCGAACAAGAATGTCCACCACCTGTATCAAATATATTATTCATAAAGAATGAAGACATGGTAAATCATGGACCAAGTTTTGCCAATGCAACTTCTATTGCAATAGCAGAAATTTAATATATATATATATATATATATACATACATATATATATACACTTCCATGAAAACAAGAGCAGTTCAGTAGTAGTTCTTTGATAAAGAATGAACACTTCATGAGGACAGTGAAAATTCCAGAAATGTATTTCAAACTAACTCATCAGAATGAACAAGCAAACAATGAAGCACCACTAACACTTACATTTATGCACAACAAAGACCTCATAGTTTCCCCATTTGCAGTTTCCTCTCTATTTTTTGAAAAATTTCCGGTTAAGCCTATGGTAGTGACACTAAATTTACTATCAAGTGATCATAAATTGAATAGCAGATGAGGATTAACATCGATTGGGTGCCACAAGCTGCCATTAATCAAGCAGATGGGTCAGGAGGCTACAAGAAATCAATGTTTGGGGATTGGTAGTCGTAATCCATTGGTGGGGATTGTAATACATAATTGCAGGGGTGGTTAGTAGTGACTAGTGAGGCTATCTACCTATCTAAAGCACACCATGTACATAAGCATTATTTCTCGTACTAACAAAATATATTTTACAGTTACTGATAAAAGAGTGGTCTTAAATTGGATGATGCTTCAGAATGAAGTCGTCTGAACTTTCAGATTTTTAATTAGAGAAGCCAAAGCTTTGGCTTCTATTCTGATATGCTCAATCAGATGGACTCCCAGAGGCCCAGAGTTGCTAATAACTTGACAGATTCCTGCCAGATCTGGAGTTTTAAGTGCTCAACCCTATTGGAGAACAAAAGCTAGAGCTTTGGCCTCTTCCGGAACTGCTCTTTCAAGTGGACTCCAAGAGTTGATAATAATTTTGCGAATTAACTTGCAAGATCTGGGGTTTCAAGGGATCACCTCCATTGGATAACCTAGACTGGGGAGAAGTTTGTAAAATCATTTTTGAAAATGGGTATAGATTTTTTTGAGATGGAAATGGGTAAGGTTTAGCAATGCTGTTTATTGTATCTTGCCATTAACTCTTAAATAGCAGAATTGTATTTCTTATTAATAAAATCTCATTTTCATATTTGCTTATATATCAACTATATAGGTCCAGCCATTTCTATTGCTTAATTAGGGGCCCTTAAATCATTCCTTACCACTCCAACCAACGCCCTTTTTGATCTGACCTAGGCCCTTCAACTTGTAACAGATCAGTCCTTACAGGTGCTGTAGATAGTCTTCCTTGCATGTTTTTTTATCAATATAGTCTTCTTTGCATGTTATCACCTATTGGAGCTACTCCTAGGTTCCTTTGAATAAGTTCCAATTTTGGCCCTGTCCTTTCTATTCCCACTAAACATAAGTATTTTTCCCACTCTCAATTTTTAAATCTCATTTCTTAACCACTGAACACTCTTCCCAATACAACATTTCTGGGCTTAATTGATCCAAAAAAAAAACATTGCATACATTATACTTTAGTCCTACTTGTTTTATTGTCTCTTCTTTGCAAGATATTTATCCATAAATCCAATTTTGCATTTAATCCTTTTTAGCTTCATCAATTAATACTATGTCATTAGAAAACAACAAGCACCATGCTACCTCCTATATATTTTAGTCAAATTATCCAATAAGTTAAACCATTCTGCACCCTAAGACATAGAATAGGGCTGGCCTTACTCCTGAAAGGCTAAAATGCTCTTCATCCATATAAAAAAAAAAAAAAAAAACTCCATAAAAACCTGGGGAGGTTATCATAGAAGATGACTGTAACAATGAGAGGACCTAAGGATTGTTGTCTTTTCTTAGAAAAGCATTGGCATCCGCATGAACATCTTGCTAGGGGTTCCACAGTAAGGCTAGTCCAGCCCCTTCTTAGTGATGTTTCATCATCCCTTCCAACAATCTTCYCACTCTTACATTAGTCATCAAATATAGCAACACAACCTCAAAAAAAGATAAAGGGTAAGAAGGTTGAAGCTGGTTAACATTTCACATAGAAAAATGTCTGGCACAATGAGTAATCACCAGATAGTTTATGGAGAAAGCTTATGCAACTAAGCAAGAGATTTGTACAGATGTGCAATATGGAAGGGATTTGAAGAAAACTCCCTTGGTGTGACTTATGGGTGTGTCTGAAGGACCCTTGGAGTGACAATCACCCAGTCATGGAACTGTACCCATCAATCTATACAATATGAATCGCCCGGAATGCCCATGTTGCTGATTATTTTGAATTCAAAAAAGGACAGGTAGTTTGGATTACTAGGATGCGAAGAATTATGCCTAATTGGGAAGTTGATGCCATGGCAAAAATTTTGATAAAAATCCACAAGGAGAAACTCTGCATAAATCACAGTGATGGCAGAATTAGAATGTAGAATGGATCAGGATTCTTTAAATCTAGATCATTTTCAAGGAAACCCTGCACCAAATACTTTTCCTAGTTCAAGGTGCTGTAGAAGTTCTTTACAAAGGCTGGCTTAAGTAAAACAGATAGATGGGGTATTATTGCAGTGTGTACTATCATATTGTGTAAACGAATAAAGGAGATAATCTGTTCATTCAGCGCAATGTGCCTAATCATTTATAGGTTAAGTTCAATGGGAGCTTTGGAGTAGTGTTTTTTCTTTCTGAAGAGCTAAAGTAAGATTTTATTAAATGAAGAAAAGCTTTTAAAAGAATATCATACAACTCTTTTATTATTATGAGAACCTGTTCATAAATTGCAATTTGGCAGAGAGCCTTTGTGTACATTGGGGTACTAACTTTTTTGTAATCATTTTGCCATAAGATAAACGAAACTCATGTTTTTTTGAGAACACCAGACAGGACCACTATCTAGGCATAATTGCAAAATCTTTTTACGGCTGACAGTGCATTAGTTAAGAGTATATGATACACAGTAGATATTTTGGGTCTAATAGTAATTGCAAATTAATGGTATTTATCAAAACAAAAATAATAAAAATATGCTTACCTCATAAGCAATGCCATACTTTGCACAGTCCATTGCTAGGCGTGTTGCTCGACCAATACTCTCTTTTGTCCTTGATAATGTTCCAAGCATCATCTCAAAAGATCTCCGAGCAGCATTTGCTTCTGCATGGATGATCCACTTACTGAGAGACTTATCTCGACGAGTTACAGCTGATTCAAACTTCACTTCATCAGCATCAAGCACATTCATGGTTTTCTTATGATGTGGAAGAATATCAGGATTTCCGCTACCATTATGTACAAGTTTGCTTTTATTATCCAAAGAAGATTCATGGCAAACTGGGGGATCAGGAGATATTTTCTCATGGGAGTCTATCCTAGTGGTTGGAGATGGACTTGACACAGCATCTGAAGCAACCCTATTATCCAAAAGGTTGTCAGAAAAGGATTTTGAACATGACAAATGGCCCTTAGCCTGAGAAGCAGCAATCAAAATCTTCGTTGATGTCTGTGTATCCCTCTGTATTTGTGTTTGCTTAAATTCTTTCACAACATCGTACCTATCACAGCCATAGAGTTTTAGAGTGATTCTATCAGACAACTTTTTTATAAAGAAAAAATTCTTTATATGCCCCTTGAGGGACCAATTCGATAAATTTCTACAAACAGCAAAAGTATAACAAGGAACAAAAGATGTAATATCATCTATAAAAACTTTCTAAATAGAGGGTTAAAAAGCATACATGCCCCTACTGTTGCAAGCCTCATCTGATTGACACTTCAAAGACTCTTTCCTTTCAGAAGAATGCTCATCTGTGGCAGACAGTATCATGCCATCACTATTAAGGTGCAAGATGTTCTCAACTTCTTTAGCCTTTGAAGTAGGGTCAACTCCCTGGACTGCACATTGAACATCATTATTCATTTCTGAATAATCATCCAAGCACTTGTTGCCCATGTCTATGATGTTACTTTTGACTTCTTCTATGGAACCTGGAGGATGAAGCAATAGTGCTTGTTCAGATAAGAAATGAACCTTCCCTTCAATAGAATTAGATAGACAAGGTTGAGAGTTTCTGACATCAATATCAGTTTTGGCAATAGAATAAACAGACGAAATGTCATGATCATAGCCAACACCATTCCTGGCCTCAAACTTTTCTCTGTAGTCCTCATTTATTGGACTAATGGGGTTTTGGTTAAGGTGATCAGAAACGTGCATCTCCGAAGAACTTTCTGTCAGTGACCCAGAATTTGGTGGGGTCAAACTGGTTGGAAATCCAGAATTTCCTTCCAGACATGTCTTAGTACAAGAGTTCATATTCCTTACTTCTAATGCTTTATCACAAGATTTTGTATTCTGTACTTCCAATGCTTTATCTACTTCACCATTCTCTACATCCACAGCATTCCCTTCTATGCTGACCATTGGAATATGGGGGGTATTCGTGTAAGAAGCATTGCACCTGTTAGACAGCATCTTTGTAGTTCCAGTGGCTTCAATGCATGCTTCATCATCTTCAGCTGCATTGGCAGACATAGCTTCCAAAGCCCGATGAAGGCGTTTAGATGGAGGCAAAGCAGCTTCAACATCAATCGACCTACCACGCAACTGAAACTTTGTGGCTTTCCAGAACAGAGTTCCATTTTCTATAAAATTGGTGCAGCCTTTTGATGGGGATGAGCAGCTATTCCCACATCCTTTTACCTCAATTGAAGTATCCTCAGGAGGATTTCCAACATAACAGAATGATGTGGATGCCTGCTCTATGTTATTACCCAATAACCCTTCCGAGGATTTGTCCCCTTTCTGCATGAATTTATTAAGTTCCTTGTCCTCTATAGCTGCTTCACCCATTCGAACTCTAGCTCGTTTTACTAATGGCAAGTGTCCATCCCCATCTCCCTTACAAAAACTTTCATTTAGTTTTTTGGGTACATTTGTTACAGATTTAGAAGCTACATCCTCTGGAGCTTCCTCATTGTCTGGCATAGAAGTAAATTTCCCCGCATCCTTGGAAGCTCGCTTTCTGGTTAGTTTCCTTCTCTTCTTAAGGACAACTGCCTTACCCCCAAGATCAAAACATTCATGTAACTCAACATCCCTCTTTAAATGCACAGAAACTTCAGCATTGTCAATTTTGCAATGAGACTCTACTGCACTACTTTCATTCAAACTAACAGAATCAGAGGTAGTGGCAATTACTTCAGAGACAGTATCCTCGCTGTTGCCATTAGAAGCAAAAGCTGGAGAGTGTGCAGGTGAATTTGTTTCATGTCCAATAGGGGTACCCAGGGAATGCTTGGTCCTTTTGTTCCCAACAGACTCATCCAGCAATACATTGTAAACAGTGTCATCGGAAGTTTTCCTGCAATGGTTTAGTTGCATAATTAGGTTTTGCAATTTACAGGGATCAACCCTTGATGAAGTTCTAGACCTTCGAACTGACATTGCCCTTCTTTGTGTAATACATCCTTGCAGAGGTGTGTCTCTTAATCTTTTTCCTAAGGAGTTACTCGCCTCTAAAGGTGTTTCTCTATGGTTATCAAGTAACAAATCACTCACAATCAACTCCCCTGATGCCTTTCCCGTCTTACAAAGATCAGTAATTTCCATTTCATCAACAGGAACCTCAACAGGATTGCATAATTCATTTTTTCCTGCAGAAGCATGTAAAGTTTCTGATAGAGGATTGGTAATCATACCAGGACTTTGCTTCTGAACCTTCAACAACAATTTACCCATGGAACCCTCCGAGTTCCCAGTGTTAGACACAGCACCTTCATCACCAGAGTTGGACTCAAAAACCTGGTCCTGTTTTTTTGCCTTCTCATAGCTATCAATAATCTCCTCTACTGCACGAACAAAGTCGGCCCCCTTACCCTGGCGTTTAACAAGCAGTGTTTTCTTTTTCTCTTCTGTAAACGCTTCGACATCAGCAGGATTACAGAATGCACTGCACAACAAAAACCCCCATCAGCATAAAGCTAAAGTCTTTACCTCATCAAGAAAGACTCTCAGAACAGRCCTTAATCATTTAACTTTAGTTCACAATAGGCAGCAAAATACAAGCATCTAAAGTGATCTGCATCATTCTAAAACATCAATACAGCCTAAAAGGGGTCATTGAAATTCCAGGACAATGCATCCAAAATCTGTAAATGCAGGCTTCAGAAGAGCAAGCTTACAAGAAATGCTAGACCTTCAAATAATTAAGGGAAATGCATCTTAATTGATACTTGAAACAATTATTTGAAATAACAATTAAGTTTTATTTGTTGTTTATTTACTTCTTCAATTGAATGGTGACTGTAAAAGTACATTTATTAAAATTGAAAAATATGTACAATAATAATTACATAAATTAGGCTAGCCTCAGCTACCAACCCTTTGTTGTGCAATTCTAATTACATCATGTATCCCCAAAATAAACCATCCCTGTTGACTCCTTGCCTCGCAAGTGAATCAGAAACATTGCTCACTGATCTGTAAGCCCAACTTCAGGTCACATCTAATCCTCCTGCCAGCTGTTTAGCCTGCCTTAAAGTGTGTATATGCTGTCAAACATCCTCCTTGAGCAATTCTATTACAGTCCGAGAACCCCCCCCCCCGGCCCCCCAACCACAATGCTGCACAAATGGACTCTTACATTGCAATAAGCCTAGAAGCAATTACTCCAATTCTGCTGTTGTTGTCCTGAGAAGATAGCAATGAAGTCCGATTTGGATTTCTGATGAACCCCTAATTCCTGACGATCCAGGGATTTCCGAAACTATAACTGTCATAGTTTAATTTCCATGAGAGTGTTGTTAAGAGGAGCCCAATCTTTTAGCCAAAATAGTCATGAAGTTTAATTGCTAACTCAATAGTTTTTATTTATTTATCTATCAAAAAATGGATTTTATTTATTTTTTCATAGTAAAAAATCATTACTTTTTATTTTCCTTGCTAACCTAAAATAGGATAAAAAGTTAGTACCTTCAGTGGCTTCACATGAACAAAAATTATCTAACCACCCTAACAAAACAATCAACCAAATTTCTGAAGATGCTTTCTTGCATAATAATTCAATTCTGCCCTCGGATCATTGGTAGCAATGTGATGCATAAACATTACAAGATAAAAAGATGCTGCTCAGAATGACAAGAAACAATTAAAAATGTTGTGGATTTTTACTTCCTAGTTCCTAATTTCATTCTTTTCCTCCCAGTTCTATCAATCTTTTCACTCTTGTTTAAAAAATATCTTTCAGTCCTATTGCTGATAGAAGAAAATTACCATAAAAAATAGTGCTAATGAATAAAGGGGGCACCGGGCCCAAGGGTCAATTTGTAACAAGGTGTCATTGTCTGGGCTTTTATGACATGTCAGTTTACCATCATTGTATGTTTTCCCTTGAAGGGGTTATCTTGGCACATAAATAAAATGTTGTTTTCAGTTGTACATTGAAAGAACAATATTTATGAACCTAGAAGGGTAGAACCAATTGCTGCAATGGTTGCAGAGGAGAATTGCAACATCTGATTTAGAGAGCTTTGGTGATACCATTCATTCTTTTTATTGGTTGTTTTTGAGGTGTCAGCATATCATTGCTTTGCACAGTTGTTCAAAATTCTTCATTCTAGAATTGAAACTTTCCAGAAAGGAAACATTACAAAACACAATGACTCTTATTGATTGTTCAGAAAACACAAAGAACAGCCACGAAGTAAGTATTTTTGGCTTCAAAAAATAGAAGGACAACAAGCTATTGGCATCATACACTGGGAACATAGATTCCTTTCAACCACAAAATCAAATTAAAAGTTGAAGAGTTAAAATTGCACCCAAATTGAATAACAAATGAAAGTACATGTGTGGAATGCATGCTTTTGTAACTTTGAGTTTTCTGTCAAAGGCAACTTTTAAGGAAGAAGGATAAACAAGAAAAACAAATTAGAAAAGGGTATAGTCAAACCAATATCAAATGATATCTAAGATATATGACATTGAGTAATCTGATTCAGGAACAAAAGGAACAAAGTACTGGAAAAATAGACAAGGGCTCATAACTCTACAAAGTAGGGGTGCTGACAGCTTGGTTAACCAAACCACAATTATTTTTGAAACTGAACCAAAGCAAGCACTTAACCAGTTTTTGGGTTCTTAGTTTTTTATTATATTGCAATTTTCATTCAAAATAAAAATAAAATAAAAAAATCCCTGAACCTGTACTAAAGAAAACAATGAACCAAAACTTGAATTCAGAAAAGGGGAGAATGGTTGTTTAACATACAGCCTAATTGAAAGAGATGAACAGTGAACTGAATGGTTTAACATATAGCAATGCACTGTGTTTTAACTTTTAACAATTACATGTCTATGCTTTTAACATAAAGCAATATACCACTCTAAGATTGAGAGATGAACAGWTTTTTTATTGAGAGAGAGAGAGAGATGAACAGTTTAACATACAGCAATATACCTGCAAGATTGAGAGAGATGAAAAAAGAACCAAATTGCTCTATGGACTATGGTGTTGGACCACTGGTGTTTTACTAGGAGTGTGGTAGCCTCACAGTCTGGCAGCTCATCATTGGCATCCAGCAAGGTGGCAACTGAGTTGACGAACCTTTGAGTAGAGAGAACCAAAGGAGATTGGAGAAGACTGAGGGAGAATGGAGAATCAGTGACTAGGAACAAGAAAGGACATTAGGAAAATAAAAAATGGTTTTACATGGGCCATTGGGAAATGAGAATGTATTAATGGCTGAATGGGTTGGGAAATAGCCAAATAGGAAAGGGAGATGGGTGCGCATTAATGGCCAAATAGATTGGGAAATAGGAAAGGGAGATTGGGTTGGGACAGGATTCTCAAGTAAGCTAATCTGGAAATGGGAAAGGGGATGGGAATGCATTAATGGCCAAATGAGTTGGGAAAAGAAATTGGAGTGGGCTGGGAATCTCAAGTATGATAGTTAAGTCAGGAAACGCGAAAGGGAGATAGGAAAAGGAGATTGGGTTGGGGCAGGAATTCCTTTTTTTTTTGGTAACCAAAGTTGGGGCGGGAATTTTGAATAGGGTAATATATAAGCATATGCATATAAACATATATACATATACTGATTGGTTCGGTTAACCACCAGTTTATTACTAGGTTCACCAAAAACCAAACCCGTCCTTTGGTTTTTAAAATATACCAAATTGACTAGTCCAATTAACCGGATTTTTCAGTTTGGTTTCACCTGTCTGGTTCAGTTTTTCAGTTTTTGATGAGCACCCCTACGACAAAGTGTAGATTTTATAAGACTTCTTAATTACATCCATTACAAAAAAAAAAATGTTTCCAAATCAACCTGTTTTCAAACTTGCCTTAAGTTAGCAACCTCAATTAGCAAAGAAACAACAGAGAAGTTTACAGAAATGAATTCAGTAAGATAGACAATTTACCACATTCTAAAAACCTTAGACATCTTTTTTTTTATGCATCTTTAACATCACAGTAAAATTAAAGAAAAATAAGATCACCATCTCATTTTGGTGTATAGAACTCATGAAGTGACAAGAAAATTGTGAAAGAACTCAAATAGCATAAGCTTCTTTCAATACTAAAAGTTCTCATTACAATACCTTCCTAGTAATTATTTGCTTTTATCTGTAACAGAAATTGTTTATGCTACAACTGTCTTTGCCCAAAGCTCTACATAGTTTCCCCTCACATTATAAACAACATTTCTGAAGTTTCTCTAACTAAATTTCTGAATTTTCCCAAAACAACATTTCTGAATTTTCACTAATTAATGAGGGTTGATTGTTTGGAAGACCATCTTTCTTTGGCCCCCTATAAAGACTATGTAATTTATACTTTTCAAGAAGATTGAAGAGGACCTTAACCAATCAAAAAACTTGAAGAGACCCATATCTTCCCAGATCATAGCAATGAGATTACTTGGAAGGAGGAACCAAAAACAAGATTCTGTTAGATCCTTAGAGGTTTCTTTTCTACAGGTATGACAGTCTATAGATGTTGAATGTATCTGGGAAAGAAGATTCCTCCTGCATGGAAGATTTCCTATGGGTGTTGTACCTTCATAAGTCTTACAAACAATCATACCATAGGGGCACATAAAGCTTCAGAGTAGTTTTGCTAGTGTAAGCAGCCAAATAGACAATGCATCATTGTTTCCTTTTTTGCACCTCTTTCTTCCAGAAATTCTTTACCTCTCCCTTTCAGATTTCTGGGCATGCATTTGTGAATAAAATAAGTTATTCACTCTTGGCCTCCTTCTTAGGTTGGCTCTAGGGAGAGTATACTTTGATCCATGATTCCTTATTCTATATGCTGGGCTATTTGGAGGAAATGGATTAAAAGAATTTCTAATAGAATGTTAAGACTGTCCATTCATTTCCATGCTAGTAGCAGTAGCATGGAAAAATCCTCTCCAGAAATTTATTAATCACAGAATTTCAAATTGTTAAGACATAAGACATTTTTTTTATGAATGAAGAAATTTATTAATCACAGAAAATAGGAGTTACAAGTGACCCAAGAAGAGGCACGAGATGTGGCCTCTCCGGAAAAAACCTAAAGAAATTCTTAAAAACAATTTGAATAAGTTACAAGGTAGTCCAAAACAGACAGTCTCGAGAAACCCCTTGTTTGACTAATGAATCAGCTATAGCATTTGCCAATCTGCTCACCCACTGAACACCAACTGTCATGTTGCTAGCAGCCAATTCACTTTTTTAAAGAGGTCTCTCTATAACTCCTAATGGAAGAATCTGGGTTCAGGAGCCATCCCACCACCACCTGTGAGTCACCTTCAATTAATAAATGCTCCACCCCAAGCTGGTTTGCAATTTGAATCCCTTGTATAGTAGCTAATATCTCTGCTGCTCCGTCAAGGGGTCCTTATTTCTTAGGACCCCTCCTAAACCCGAAGAAGGTCCTAGATTACCCTGACTACTCCCGTCAAA